TTGGTGGCATCCCCTGACTGATGACAGTCACCCTTGCCTGAAGCACATGAAGTGTGTTTGCCATGTAAGCCACTAGTATATTCTGAAAATGTAACCGTATAGCAACACGTCCACTCCCTTGACTGATCATTGCTGACAACCGTGACAAGCTGCCTGGCTTGGTGTCTGTGATAAAAGGCAAGGCAAGACTGAATTACTGGGAGAGTTTAAATTCTGAATGAGGCAGCAAAGCGTAAAGAGGCAAGGCAATGAAGAGATGCTGCCTGTAACCAAATATGCATGAAGTGAGTGAGTATTAAGAGAGCAAGCTTGCAGCCCTGAGATGTGCCCTGTTCTGATGCTAAGCTAGGTACCTGTCATTGTGCACAAAGCAGCCTGGCTATGGCATTGCAATGTAAGGTATTGGTGTACTCCCAAGTGCAATATCAAAATGATGAACTGTGTTCCAAGTGAGTCTGAAATTTTCCATGATTATGTGGTAAGACTGATATGTATCTAATGCCAAACTCTGTAGATGGTAGATGTGGGTGATCACTGCCTGTGCTGAATACTCTGGGCTGTTGGGGACTGCTATCCAAGATGAATGTGTGGAGGAGTTGGAGGCACCATGTACCTGCTGTAACTTTCATTTTGGGAATTGTCACCATCTTGTTTCTCTCCTTTGCGTGTGAGTGTTGCATGTAAATGAGGTACACTTAAGTACTAATGAAATGTAAATACATGCAAATAGGTCTCTCATGACTCAGTCATGAATTTCTCATCTTGACTTTCAAACCTTGGGTGTAAATTTGGACTTTTTGTCTTGAATATCTTTTCTGAATATTTTTACAACTGATTTGCCATTGTGCATGTCTATCGGGTTCTGGGACATTACAGCATTGTAAAAGGAGGTATTTTTCAAATTGGCCTGTTCAGAGATGTTATTACACATTTCTGGAGCAGGTGGGACTTGAACCCAAGTCTCCTGGTTCAGAGGTAGGGACACAACACTGCACTACAAGGGCACTGGGGTTGTAAGAGGACTATTTGTTAGTCAGGAATTTTCACATATCTATTTAGAAATGTAATGTTCAAGAAGGATATATTGGATACATCAGCTGCAATTAACAATTTGCAGGCTTCTCATCAAAACGATACAATTATTTTTATCAGCAAGAATTCTTTTCATCACATCTTTTAATGATCCTTCTCTTTTTAAATTGATTCTTTGAAAAAATAAAATTATTTTTATACATCATACAGTGAACCTTGCTGATTACCATCTCTTCCATGACCCTTTCATTTGTAGTTCTTTTGAATGTTAGGCTGAGGCAATAAGGAAATTTTAAATTCATCCTTTGTTGACTAAAAACATGTGTTCAGAAATTAGGTATTCATTGTCTTTTTCTTTCAATCCCAGCATCATTTTCTTTGGAAATAGTATCCTCTTCCTAAAATTAAGCTTTGAATCAAACTGAAATATAATCTTGAATGTTAGCAAATTTTGACAACTTCCTACTGACAATCACATTGCTAAAATAAAATAATGTTTTATCTTTTTGCTCTGCTTTATGTGCAATATCAAAGCAAGCTTGTTGTGAATATAAAAAGCACAGAATAAGTCTTTAAGTTTGTTACAGTAGTGATTGTAATGTGATTTATTACAGCCATGTTATGTTAATACCTCACATAGCTATGCTGCTGCATTAAATCATTTGCAGTACTAAAATGTACGTCTAACCTTTCAAATGTAAATCTATACTAATGCTTTAATAATCAATAGGCAGATAAAAGTCCCTCCTTTAGTGCTCACATTGCCTCTTGTTCCTCAGAGAGCTATGGTGTGGTCTATGAAAATCTCCATCTCAGTGACTGATTTTTCCAACCAATCAACAGTTGTTACACATTTTGCCATCTTTTCTGAAGGCTAATGGGATAGGCCATGAAAATCTTCAACATGGTAATTGATTTCTATGACTATTATTCCAATTATAGGAACTGGTCTCAACACTATCAATTTCACAGGCAGCTCTGTTAGTTTACAGACAATCATCAATTAGGCTGTTGACTGCTGAGCAAGGAGCTTCTCTTGCCTCGCGTACTAACTACATAGTGGAAGTGAGCAATTATGTCACAATCTGAAATAAAAGCAAAATAGATAACAAGTCAGAGATAGTAGGAACTGCAGATGCTGGAAAATCTGAGGTAACAAGGTGTAGAGCTGGATGAACACAGCAGGCCAAGCAGCATCATAGGAGCCGGAAGGCTGACGTTTCGGGCCTAGACCCTTCATCGACTTGGCCTGCTGTGTTCATCCAGCTCTACACCTTGTTATCTTAGATAACAAGTCAGTCAGGAACATAAAAGGAACAATAAGTCAATATTTATTTAATAGCAGTTAGTCATAAGTCCAGGTTTTAAATAAAATTGAAGTAAATGGAAAAGAAAATACTTTCAGTATCTAATGTTATACTAATAATGCTGATTTTTAAATGCTGTCCCTATCCATCAATAAGTTTTTACTCACAGAAACAAATCTGAGTTAAAGTATTTGGGCTAAATTGTATAGCCACTTCAGAGGATGAAAATGGGAGCTGAATTCACTTCATTTGGTGGCAGGATCTGGCTGGCATACTACTGGTTGTGGCCAATTATGAGGCTGACACTGAAGCTACTGTCCAATTAAGAGCAGTGACAAGCCCGCAAGATCAGCCAACTCAGTCAGAAGGCTCAGCAGTCTGAGACATGCCACTGCGCGTGGTTGTTATTGCTGAGGCAGCAGCTCCAAGGAAAGGGCATCTCAGTGGCTGGGTGGCCTGAAAGTGCATGTTCACTATGGATGGGGGATGTTAAGCTTCACACCCAGGCTATGGTGTTCAGGGGGAAAGGGATACCAGCAGCACTATTGAGTATCTTCCTAGAGCCCACTGGCAGACCACAACAATTTACAGTCTTTCCACATGACAGATGCCCTCCAATATGCTCTAAGCCCTCAAATATACTATTTCCAAAGAAAATGGTGCTGGGATTGAAAGAAAAAGGGCAGAATGTTTGCTGATTACGAGAAGTGGCCCTTAAATTACCATTTACATGGCTCAATCCAGGGAGTGGCCAAATCACCAGCCTACCCACCACTGATAATTTGGCATCGCCGTGGGAAGACTTGAGTTCCATTCCCAATGAGAACCATTGCTACTTCTTCCAGCCCTCCCTCTATCGCCAATGTGTTACGAAAACTCAGTTGCATGGCCTTATATGTATCTCTTACATACGGAGGACATCCCAAAGTTATTCATGGAGGTTGAATTATTTTTTGACACAATTTTAACTTTATGTTAGTGGATAGGATTTGAGTGGGTTAAAATGTTTTCCACATTCACTGCTATTTAGTCAACAAACTTGGCAGCCAACTTGTTGACAAATTGCTCTTACAGATGATAAACTAGTTAAACTGGAAACATGTGGATAGGACCTTACGTTCATCAACATAATTATGAAAGTAGCATGCAATAAAACATAACCGCGAGATTTACATTTTGGTACACCAGCCAGGGTACGTTGCAATGTAGCAATACATTAGAGCAATAATTTACTTTTTAATATTTTGCAGAAATTAGCAACAGAGAAATTTGAGTTGAAATTTGCATGTTAATTTAGTCATACATATTTGATTTTTTTCATTTGTTAACTTTTTTATAGCTTGTCTAAAAATGGTTTTAAGATCGTCCAGTTACAGGAATTTAATGTTTGTAGTAAGAATGTAATGTCAAGGAATAAATGAAGCTGCGACTTCTCACATCAAGCATAATTATAAATAGAAGTTGAGGAGTTATTGATTACATTCTCCCACTCCTTTGTAAGTTGTGTCACACCAGTGCCTCAATAAAACACTAAGTATTTACAATAAAATACAGCAGTGTGAGATTACAGTACTTCCTTCTAAATGCACCAGCAACTTAAGTCTTGTCCACTTAAGTATGTGATTTTGAGAAAATATCTATATCATCTAACATCCTCTTTGATACTGAAAATGTACTATTAAAAGTTTGAAGTCTCAACTCTTCAGGTTTCAATTATTTTTAAAGATTTTACTGAACTAAAAATGGCTACTTGCATAATTTTTCTCTCTTTCTCTTTTTACACCTCTTTCTTAATTCCATTTATATTTTTCTGTCCTTATCTTACCACTGGTACATAATTTTAAATTGGATTAAATATTACAGTTTACATTTCCTGCTTTTATCTCTGCATAACTCAGTTAGGATTTTTCAGTACCATTGGTTGACAAGACACTTTGTTGTTTGTTTTGCACACAAACGTCCTGGATCCCCCACAGATCGCATTCAATTTTAACTGTTTGATAACTCAAAAGACAATACATAAATCTACAGAAATTCAGTTTTGTGCATGGTAGTCATTTCAATCTAAAGTTATATGTTTCAATGGTGCATTGTGAAAATACTTCTACGTGGTGAGCATCTCACAGTTGTGAGAATCAGGTTTAACTCTTGTGTTAAGCTTCTGCTAGGAAGAACATTGAAAAATAATATAGATTAGGAGTTACAATTCTAAAGGACATGCACAAGAAGAGGGACCTGTGTGTGTATGTGCACAGATTATTGAACGCACGACAGATGGAGAGAGCAGTAAGTAAAGCAAATAGTATCATTGATATTATTAGCAGCGACAGAGAGTACAAGAGCAAGGAGGAAATGTTGAACTTGTATAAGACGCTGGTTGGACCTCAGCTTAAATATTGTGTACAGTTCTGGGTGTCACGCGAAAGGAAGGATGTGAATGCATTGGAGCAAATGCAGAAGTGGTTTACAAGAATGGGTCCAGGAATAAGAAACTTCTGTTATGAGGATAGATTAAAGAAGTTGGAACTGTTCTCCTTAGAGAGAAGAAGGCTAAGAGGAGATTTGATAGAGGTTTCAAAATCATGAGTGAGCTGGATTGAACAGACAGAGAAAAACTGTTCCTGCTCTTAAAGGGCATTGATTCACAGTGATCTGCAAAAGAAGCAAGGTAAAGTGAGGCAAGTTTTTTTTCCCCACTCAGTAAGTAATTAAGGTATGGAATGCACTGCTTGGACATGTGATTGAGATAAGTTCAACCGAGGCATTCAGTAGGGTGTCAAATGATTATTTGGATACAAATAACATGCTAGATAAAGTGAAAATGCAGGAGATTGGCACAAGATTATGTTCCCATTTAATGAGCTGCTGCAAGTACAAAGAACCAAATGGCCTCCTTCTGCACCATAATGCTTCCGTGATTTAAATATGTTCATGTTCAATTTGGCAGAATACATTAGCAGTAACAACGGAGGCATTATTTTCATTACACCACAAACGTAAAAGAAAATGTATCTCTCAAACATTGCTGCAATTAATGCAATGGAAAATTTACAGGTATTATTCACCTGATTAAAAGATTAATACTTTCCCTTGATTTGATACACCCTATTACAGTTTCTGCAATTATCGCAGCAATTACCTTAAAATCAAACAACTTGCATGCATTTTTGCACTTGAGTGGTGCAGAAATGTATGCTGTCACCAAATTGAAAGTGCACAATAATAGATGCATCAAGAGGCAAATCTCCTTTTGATTGTCAAGGGGATCAAGAGTTACGGGGAAAAAGCGGGTGAATGAGGTTGAGAACCTTATCAGCCATGATTGAATGGTGGAGTAGATTTGATGGGCTGAATGGTCTAATTTTCCTCTCCTATGTCTTGTGGTTTTATGGTCTTATGCAAATGTATAAATGAAATCACATCATTTTAACAGTGAAAGAACAGTGGTTAGGTGTGCTGTGAATAACTATATCCATTATTAGGGAAGGAAGAAAAACAACCAGAATTCCCACTTCAATTCCTATCTGGCAAGCTTGGCTCATGCAAATTTATTAACTGTATCTTGGTTTTCTTGGTTATGATGCTCCTGATACTGAGTAACTTCTGACACTCCCTGTGAAAATTTACACATATACACAGGCTACTTGATGGGCCCAGCAAAGAACCAGTAGATTTCTTGACTATTGTCACTGCAAAGCACCCATTCACATGAGCAATATTGTAAGGTAAAAGAATGGAGCTCTGTCCTGAAACTTGCAGGTCTACTAGCAGAGCTACTTTTATGAGCTGACTCTAATAGCCCTCTTTTATGCTTGACTGTCAATAAATCACATTTGAAATGTGACTTAGAGTAACACTTCAAATCTTAAAGTTTTGAATAAGTGTGATAGAAATAAATATGTACCAACACTTTTCTGTTAGCTTTTAAGCACATTTCACTGTGCACCTTCACCTACACCCAGAACTGTGCAAAACATGTCGATAAAATCAGACCATTGTGGAAATATTTTGATGACTCTGGATTGTTACTACCTACCCTGTGTATATTGGGTAGTTTTGATATTAGTGAACTTTTTAAAAATATTTTACTAATGATTCCCAAAAATATTAGATTGAATTTAACATAGTTACATTGCTAAAATTCTACAAATGTGTAGATATAACTCCTGGATGATTAGTGATTAACTCCTTTTACCATAATCAGTTGTTCTCATAACATTGAAAATTTTAGTAACTTGCTTATAAAAAATAAGAAATATTTACCATATATACTCGACTAAAAGTCGATTTCATGTAAAAGTCGACGCCTGTTTTTGACCAAAAAAATCTAAAATTTTCCATATATCTCATGTAAATGTTGACCCTCGTTCTTCACAGATAGCAGATCAACATTTGTGAGTTAAGGTATTATCCTGTACATAAATGTTATGATGAGGAAATGTTTTTTTTTCATACTATTATGTGTTTTGATGTATAATTCGCACCAATTTGGCGCAAAAGTTTAAGACATTAGTCAGAGTCAGGTGACAACCTTCCTTTGTGTGCAGCTCAGTTGAGCTCAGTTCCTCTGTAGCACTCATGGAATCCAGTCCTGTACCTAGTTGGGATTTTGAAATTTCTTCATCATTTTGTGTAAAAATGCCATCCAGAAAAAAAACCCCAAAAAAATACAGCAGCATTTAAACGGAAAGTTATTGAACTTGCAGAGAAGACAAATAATTGTGTAGCAGTGAGAGAATTTTGTGTTTTGGAGAAACTTGTGAGAGACTGCGGAAAGATATTGGACCAACTTCAGACAGTGCCAAAACAAAAGAGTGCCAACAGAGGTGGACCTAGCAGGTGGCCACAATTGGAGAAAAATGTTGCTAAGTGGGTACTTGAAAATCAACAAAATGGATAATGTGTTAGTTGTGAGGCCATCTGAATCCATGCACGAAACGAATCAAAGAAGGATAGAGTTTCAGGTTTTAAGGCAAGTGCTGAATGGTGCACAACGTTCATGACAAGGCATGACTTAATACTTCAGCAGAGAACTAAGATTGCACAAAAGCTGCCTGCTGAACTCGAAGATACTGGTTTCACCAGTTTTTATCAGAAATCAGCAGAAGGAAGGCTAATTTTAAGATATTAATTAATTTTAGTTTGTTTAATTTAAGATGTACCATGCAATTGCAATTTAAAGCTGTATTGTATTTCTATTTCACTTTTAGTATGTATAAATAAAAGCTTGCTAATTCAGTTTTGTTTCGATTGCCTTTATCTGGTAATTATAATAATTTGTTGTATTTTTTTTCTTTATTTGTTTAGAGATCAATTGGGCTTCTGCTATTGTTACGGTATTTTGGACAGTAACATGAATTTCAGCCCCTCAAAAGTAGTGTCCATGTAATAGTCGACCCCATAAATTTAATCTAAAAAAAAATCTAAAAAATTCAACTTTTACACGAGTATATATGTTAAGGAAAAGAAAAACTTGCAATCATTTCGTTCTGTACAGTTTTAACTGGTGCAAATATTTGGACTTGGAAAATTTACTCATTTTTTAAGTTTTTGTCCACAAAGTCATGGTTGGATGAAAATTAAAAATAGTCAAGAAAAAATATTGATAATACTCATCCAAAAATAACCTCTGATGGCACTACTATTCTGCAACCTTAAACTACAGATGGATTCTAATATGGGAAGCCATGCCAGTCAACATTTTATTGAGATTTGTTAACATGATGCTAACTTTGCCATTTTCAATAACTGTTCTCATCCCAAAGTAGGTTAGGAGAACTTTATATTATTTCTATTGAAAATAACATGAACAAATGATGATGTTTACCAATCCTTGCCAAGTGTAATGAATCATGACAGTGCATCAATTTTCAGCATCGGTAATAAACAATAAAATACATTGCATGACAGCTGGAGGTGAGCTCACCAATAGAAGTAATAGAGTACATCAATTGCAGGGGAGAAAAAAAAACACAGCTGGGAAGATTACTCCTATCATCATTGTAATCATTAATATTACATTTTAATCATTTTGCAGTTATTTGATTTACTTGATATTTTCCTTCACTTATTCTTAGAAGACATTTTACTTCATCATTTGGTTGAAAGTAGTTAAAGATTGAACAATAAAAGGTGAAAGACCACCTGAAATAACGCCACAGAGGCTGGTATTGTATCTACAAGTCACCCTTTATTAACACACAAACAGTCCTTGATTCCCGTATTGCCTCATTCAGAGTCAGTTGTCAGAGTGCCGGTATCTGTCAGCCAGGGCTCCCTGATTTGAGCAGATTAACAACCCCAATCAGGGAACTCATTATTTGACATCCAACTGGATGACCTCATTAAAATCACTACATCAATAGAGGTAATGGTCCTGTTTGGTTTTCGCTACAAAATATGTAGTGATGGTGAAAAAAGTTAGTTTTGGTGGAACAGGAAAGAGCCATTACTTTAAAGAAAAACATGCTTTAATCTTGCTTGTTCACTGCGGGTAGCACTGTGAGTTTGGTGTCTAATTTAAAGTGCATTGAGAAGTCAGCATGGCATTATGTTCTGGCTCTATGAACCTTTATGCTCCAACAAAATTTTGCTTGTGCACAGGCTTGCTCAACAGTGTTAAAATAACAGACCATTATTGATATGTTGAAATTTTTCATGTCATTCCAGCCTTGTAACTTTCTGCACCACTGGCAAAAACTTTTCAATGTAGTTTAGCAGACCTTGGACTGGATTTTCATCTTGGAGATGGGAATGGCAGTCAGGGGATTTCTTGTCCTTTCAATCCTGTCTCCTGAATGGAGGTCCCCATCCACAATATTTCATTGTAAGGAATTGAGGATGGACTGCAATCAGACTTCCTGAAGCAAGCCTGACATTGAGATGGAACTGACCTGCTTAAAAGTCTTGCCTCAGTTTTCTGAGATGTTGGCCTATTTTTGTACATCTATGTAAGCCCCTCCAGCCCCTAGCCATTACTCCTCAACCTCTCATCCTTCACCCAAGGGTTCCTCACAACCTATTCCTGCAACTACCATTATCCCTATACATCCCCTGACACCTAACCAACTCATCCAGTATCCAGTATAAACAGAATACTCAAACCCTACAAAACAGTATGGCATTTTTGAGAAAGTAATAAACTTGATAAAATGAAACAGTACTTAGGAATCCATTTAAAGATATTATCTTTGAAAAGTTCATGCATCTGTGAAAACAGCTAAGCTGTGTCAACAAGCCTTGATGAGTAGCATCCACGTGTGGATTTAGAACCTGGGAAAGCATTTTTAAAGAAGTTCGATTGAATGGTGTCAATAAAAGCTCCAAAATTGAGTACATTAATGTCTTGAAGGTGGTTTAGAGGTTGAGAAATGCATTAAAAATTTGAAAACATTAAGCAAATGTGCAATCCAGAATGGAGCTTTATCTAGTGGATAAAGTACAAACGTACATCTAAAGACTTCTCAAGTTGTTCAATGCCATGGTCATTAATCTTTTCAAATCAAAGCTTTATCATCAATAAATTTATTTTAAACATAAATAACTCATGATATGGCACTTCACTATCACATTTGTAGCCAGCAACAACTTCTGAATTTACCTTTTCATATGGATCCAAATCATGGTTTCCACAGGTTCATGATGCCTCTGAGCTGCTAAGAAATATATCACCTTTCAAAATCAACCTGGTTGCCTAAAACTTGT